AAAGCTAAGAAAACAGAATTGTTAACCCCCAAGATCTGACTGGGAAGGAGGTTCTGAGAGATCACTTAACAGAAGGTCTTTTCTGCCCACTAGCCCTGAAAGTAGTCATTCTGAGATCCCTTTGAGAAAAGGTTTTAAAAGGAGAGTGGTGTGAATGACAGTCAGCCACATACAGAGGATTAGGGCTAATTCTGCCTGTTTCCTCCCCCAGCTTCATGTGAGGAATAACCTTTTGTTAACCAAACAGAATGGTCTAAGCCCTGAAAATACAGACCAGAGAGATGTCCCTGCCATCCAGTGGCATGAAGCGTGGGGTTGTTCAACAGTGTGATTCACACAGGAGGGCGGAGATGCAGAAGGGAGGGTAGAAGGTCCTGGAGGCTGGCGTGTTATGGGCATTTGGTCATTAAACCTGGGAACCCAAGACGTGGCACCCAACTAGGTCTGCTCCCACTCAGTTACTGCCTATCTTGTGTGTGTCCTTTTCAGCACCGCCACGTGGGTCTGTTGCCACTGACAGCCCCCAGGACTCTGCCTAGAGAGGCACTAGAGGAACATCTGTGTCCTCTGGCCTGGAGTCTTGTCCTTCTATCTCCACTGTGCCAGGAGACTGAGCCCTTTCCCACTCTGCTTGGGGGCAGATGGCATCACCAAGGAGCCGCAGTGCCCTTCAATGACGGCTCTCTTTGTCAAGTGTCAGTGGCACCAACTAACTTATTTCAGTGCAGAGCCTCCCTCTGTAAGGAAATGTAGGGGGTGGCGAGAGTCATTGTCACCCTCCCACTACACATGAATCGTGCTGGGTACAGTCAGGAGCGAAAATTTTTTCTCCTTCATTAGGAAGTTCTTTAGCATCTGTCTGGTGTTGGGAGAGAGATGGGTTTGTGGTGGGTGGGACTCAGAGAACCCTTCCCACTCTCTCTCCAAGGCCGCGTGGGGACTGTGCGCATTTGTTGTCAGAGTTTGTACATTGGATGCTATGACTTTTTAGAATTACAGCCGAGGGGCGCCTGAGTGGCTCAGTCGGTTAAATGTCCAGCTTTGGCTCAGGTCATGATCTCGTAGTTCGTGAGTTTGAGTCCCACATCAGGCTCTGTGCTGACAGCTCAGAGCCTGGAACCTGGTTCGAATTCTGTGTCTTCCTCTCTCTGCCCCTCCCCAACTTGTGCTCACTTGCTCTTTCTCTCTCTCAAAAATAAACAAACATTAAAAAAAAAAGTTACAACCAAATTCTTGCCTATGGTATAAGATTAATAACATAATACAAGGGATGTGGCTGGTTCTCAAAGTGAAACCTGGCCTGTCACAAGACCAGAGCAAGAGTGGACTCTTGCAGAGCTACAGGCTGAAAGCATCAGGGAAAGGGTAGGAGGTGAGGAGAACTCAACAGGTTGGCCAAACAAGGGGAGCCCACTGCAGCACCCAGAGGAGAGCAGGAGAGAAAACATCCCAGCGGATCCCAGGGGTTCGTCATGATCTGGATGACCATATCAAATTGTCAGGAGAGTTTTGAATATTGCCTGAGAATTGGTGTTTTCCAAGAATCACTTTGAGATTAACAGTAGCTATTTATAGGGATGTAGGCAGGCTTGTTCAAACAATGTCCTGAGAACATTTGGTTTCACGAATCAAATCAAAAGAGCATTTGGAATCAACACACATTAGTACATGTTGCCATTGCATAATTCTTTATTTTAGGTTGGTGAGAATATCATTTCCAAATCAACCTACTTTCTCTTGTTTATTGTTACATTACACATCCAAGGACTTCACTCTCTGTGTGTTTTAAGTGTAGTTCAGAACCTCACCTCAAGGCAAGTGATTTACCTGCCAACAATTGGTTAAAAAGTGTTCATTGCATTATTGTTGATAGAACCTGGGTAAGACACAACACCAGGAAGAACAAGAAATGTTTGGCACAAATACACAGACCTCCACCCCCAGTATTGCTACCTTGATATTCACTTGTTAATCATTTAGAACTTTCCCCCAACACCCATGCAACCGATCCTGGCATCTGTTGGTGACTCCCTTTGGTCAGTTGTGAGAATAGAAGCATCTGAGAAAGATCCAGACACTGTTTCTTTTCTTTTTTTTTTTAACCATATATTTGATCTTATAACTTTTCCCACTTAAACAAAATCTCCGATTTTGAAAATTGTATATATGTCATCTGTGGCTTCAAGAATCTAAACATCTCAAGTAACATCCCAGTTCCAGGCTGCCTCAAAATCAGCCACTTGCTTTTCGAGTGCATGCAGTGTCTCGCACAGTCCTCCAAAACATAGGTCTGTGTGCCAGGCTGAGGGCAGAGCTGCTGAATGTGCAGGTGCCCTTGGACGTACGGATTTCTGGAGGGACATCATGTTCTTTATTCTTTTGTTTTCTGAATAATGGATAGTGGCCAGAATTTCCCTCTTTCTAACAGGGAAGGAGGGGGAGGAAGAGACGAAGGGGAAGGAGGGGGAGAAAGAAGGCAGAAGAAGGAGAGGGAGGGAGGAGGGGTTCTCCTAAGGAGTCCTTCCTCCCACACCCACCCTCCCACTGAGGGTGGGGAATGCAAAATAACACAATATCAGCTCTTCCTAGGAGTGAAGCGTACTTTGCAGGTGCTGTGATGCTTACCCTCCGCACATCATGGCTCAGGGCATCGGCTCAATCTTTGCTTATAAACTGTGGAAGCAGCTATTGGAAGTCCCCTCTCACCTTCTCAGGGCTCCTTCTGCATGTCTTTCGCCATGTCACACCTGGTGTGCCCCAACAGCTTGTGCCCCTGATCCTGCCCTGAGCTCTAGCTGCCCCTACACTGCTGTTTGACATCTGGTGCCACTGAGTGGCTAGGCCAGGCTGGCTTGCCATCTCCCTTAAGAGCCGCGCGGCCCCGCGACCTGGAGGCCAGGGCTCTTGCCCACCAGCCTGGCTCTGGGCACGGGATATTCTGCTGTCTGTTCTGCTGGGAGGTGACACTGGGTCGGGCATCACTGGTGAGCCTTCTCTGCCTCCTTTGAACTTGCCATCAGCCCACGTGGATGGCCCTGGAGGCTTAGAAATAAGCTCCTTGCAAATGCAGTCACCTCCCACCATCTGTCCCCTGGTCCCACTATCTCCCACCATCTGACACTCATACAGAACATGAGCTCAGAGAGAGTATGCCTCCTAAATCAGCAAGACATTTACTGTGGTAAACGGCTCCCTGTGGCCAGTTGCCATATTAGACGCATCTGAGAAAAATGCTCCTAGCAGTCACGGGGGCCAGGAAGTATGGATGCGGCCAGCTCAGTTATCCAGGGGCCGCTTCTTCCATTTGTGAGTTTCCTGGCATTATAGTTCTCTTTCTCCTTTCCCTTACTGTATCGAGGCTAAATGTAGCAAATAAAGGACATACAACCCTATGTATTTTGCTCTTGGTAAAAATGAAAACAATAAAGTCAAATCAGAAGTTTGGAGGAACTGGGGACGAAACCTACAAGCAGATTTGGGGGTTATCTGTGGATCGTATTTCTTATGGTCGTAACCAGAAGCATTGAACAATAGTTTTTATGCACCCCAAGTCCTGCTTAGGAAAGCTTAACGAATAGAAGAGAGGGGTTCCCCTCTGTTAGTCTTTTTGCAAAGGGACTTTCCTTACAGACTGGAGGAGCACTCACCTGGGCAGTGAGCATTTTCCAGGGGGAGGAACTTGGACAAGGGTGAGATTGACCTGGTTCAGGTTCCAGCTGACCTGTATCTGCCGTGTGGCGTCAGTAAAAGAACTTCGCTGAGGTTCATTTTCCTCCTCTCAGGTGCAGAGAAAGGTCATTGTGAGGGTTGCTGAAAGGGATAGAGTAGAAAACATTTATGAGTGCTGCCTGAGACCCAGATCACGGCACGCACTTAATTCAGGTTAGTCCCTTAGAGAGGAAGTTGGTGGAGAGGCCACTTTCTAGCGGATCCCTTTGGGCAGGTTACTGGGCCTCTCCGCCCCCCTGTAACTTGGGAGTCATCATGATAATGATAACATTATGAGCGCTCTCCCCAACCAAGACCAGGTGGGGTAAGTGCGTTAATGCATCCCAAACCCACAGAACACGCAGTCAGCATATAGCCAGTGCCTGGGACACTTACAGCTCTTTGAGTTTGTCTACTCTCTTAAGTTTTCTAGAAAGACATGCTGATCATATATACTTGGGTGACAAGGGGATTTTTCTTGTGGAGATTCACCATCTTTTCTAGCATGTATTTACTCTGTGTACAAATATATATGGCAGCTGGTTGCCAGCGGCTGGGTGGGTGCCCAGCACAGGGCTGGAGGCACAAGACCAGGAACAGAGAGTGTGAGAACAGGGACAGAATAAGATGAGACCCCTGGCGCGGAGGACTCTCAGGTTAGAAGCGAGGAATTGGGATTAAGGAGCATTTTTGCTGTTTGACAGATGAGAGGACAAAATATCAGTGTTGATGGATGACCTACCCAAAACCTTAGAGAATGAGCTGAGAGCAGGTCTAAGGCAGGCTCCCCAGGCACCAGATTTCAGGTCTTCGCTGCACTGGATTGTGAGCTCCATGAAGGCATTATGGAGAGTCTTCATGTTCACGCCCCACACCCCCCAGGAAGGCCCTGTTCTGGGGCCGGAGATGCTTCCCTGAGTTAATTTCCGGCGGAGTCATACCCCAGGCTCCAAGTGAAGTATACCTTTCTCTGACTCAGTCTCGTCTGAGCTGCAGTACTTAGCACAGCACTGACATGACATAGCCACCTGTTCCTATTTGTTGATTGATTGATGGATTGAATTTGATTGGTAATCTCCAGTTACACACACACACACAGAAATGCTCTCATGTTTTTTCTGGCTAAGAAACCCAACACCTAAAATAGGTCCTCTATCTCTACTCAGTTTTTAGACAGAAAGTTCAGCCCAAGGAGTAAACAAAAAAAAAAAAAAAAAGAAATATCTAAGAAATGTTTTATGTCTTAAGCTTTTGAGTTGTCAGGTTTGTATCTCTCCTTTGTCATTTCACAGCTCCTGAGGTCCTGGCCCAGAAACCGTACAGCAAAGCAGTTGACTGCTGGTCCATTGGGGTGATTGCCTATATCTTGTAAGTATTGCTTGCTACCTCGGCTTCTTTTCGCACTTTCTTTTTTTTATTGTGGCAAAATATGCATAACACGGAATTTACCGTTTTAACCCCTCTTAAATGCACAGGTCAGTGGCGTCAAATACATTCACGCTGTTGCGCAGACGATCATCACCACCCATCTCCAGAACGTTTCCATCTTCCCAAACTGAAACTCTGTCCCAATTAAACACTGCCTCCCTATGGTCCCTCCTCACCCCCCCACCGTGGTCCCAGACTCACTCCATTCTACTTCCTGTCTTTGTTAAGTCGGCCATTTTAGGTTTCTCATGTAAATAGAATCACACAGCATTTGTCCTTTCATGACTGGCTGTCTGTTTATAATGTCCTCAAGGTTCATCCATGTGGGAGCAGGTGCCAGAATTTCATTCTTTTTAAGGCTGACCAACAGACCGTTATCTGCATATGATACATTTTGTTTATCCATTCATCCCTCAGTGGACTCCAGGCGGTTTCTACCTTGTGGCTGTCGTGCATAATGTTGCTATGAACATGGGTATTCAGATGTTTGCCTTTGGGTGTATACCCAGACGTGGGATGCCTGGATCATATGGTAGTTCTACGCTTAACATTTTGAGGAAGCTCCACACTGTTTTCCAAAGCAGCGTCCTCACTTTACATTCCCAACAGCAACGCACAAGCGTTCCAGTCTCTCCACATCCTTCCAACACTTATTTTCCAGTTTTCGTAACAGCCACCCTAACCGGTATGAAGCACTTTCATTGTGGGTTTGATTTACATTTTTCTTTCTTAAAATGTATTTCTAATGTTTTTATTTGAGTACAGTTTACATACAATGTTATGTTAGATTCAGGCATATAACATAGTGATTTGATAACTCTGTATGTTGGGCTGTGCTCACCACATGTGTAGCTACCCTCTGTCACCACATGATGCTATTACACTATTATAATACCATTGGCTATATTCCCCATGCTGTGCCTTTTATTCCTGTGACATATTCATTCCATCACTCTATCTCCCACCCCTCTTCACCCATTTTACCCCTCCCCCTTCTGGCAAACCGTCAGTTTGTTCTCTGTGTTTACAGGTCTGATTCTGGTTT